AGCCTAAGCCAAATTGATAATGCTGTGCTAATTTGATCTCCCCCAAGGCCCAGTGTTATTGTTTGCTTCTGCCTGCTGCTGGGGTGTGATCCTGGCAATAGAGATAGGACATACAATCATGCTGGATTATAAATATTTACATCCCTTTGGCCAACCACTATTTGCTTGTGGCACGTGCTGGGGTGGGGAATAAATATTTGGGGCTGGCCATGTGAGTATGTCTCTCCCCAGCAGGTATAGCTAGGCCAGTTGCTGCTGTATTTGGAAATGGAGGACTGGATTTGGACCTGCAGTTGTCCTGTCTGGTAGAGGAAGAAGCTAACCAAAATGGAGTACCAGGGCGAGAGACTCTGCAAGAAGGTAAAGCTGGGTACGAGCTGGATCTTTGCATGAGCCTGGTAACTGTCTTGGAAGGAGGAATGGAAAAGTCTGCTAATCATTTGAGGTTCTGCTATATACAGTGATGCTGGTTCTGGCTTAAAGGCTCCTTGTAGTGTATAGCTGGAATGGGCATGGGGTCTGGAGTCTGTACATGTCATGGGTTTCCTCTCTCTTTGTGAGCTGCTATGAAGAATAAACCAGCCATGGACTTACTCTTGAAGTGAAATATTGGCCCACTCTGCCTATGGGGTTCCCTTTACAAGCTACAACTGTAAAACTGCTACAACTAAGATTTTCTTGTTTCTTCCATTAATATTTTAAATGCAGGACAAATTATTTAATTATTATTCTTCTTCAAGGTCCCAAGTGAGGGCTGCCAAATTCCTATTTTAGAACACAGAATAGGTTTTATCTAGTACAGTGCGATGTGGTAATATGTTTTTTGTACTTCAAAATGACATTTGACTATGTGTGCGCATGTGTAGTCACCAATGCAAATATAGGTTTATTGCTGTAAAGCAGATTTAAAGCTGAATACTGGAGAAATATAAAAACTACTCTAGCAGTGAGGCTCCCCCTGTACTGCAAGGGATTAAGCCTAGGGAATCATTACAAAGCATTTTATTTACCATATCCCTAAGGCTGGGTTCACACCTGCGCGTTTTACAGCACTGATCGAAGCGCTGAAAAACGCCCTATGCGTGAAATTCTACCGGAGCTTCTTTCGGGCGTATCTCAGTGCGTCTCCATTTGCCCTCGTTATTGGGATTTCATGGACGCAAAAGGCTTGGCAAATGCACATATTCCGTACGCCCAGGTGTGAACCCAGCCTTACGATTACAGGTTTCCTCCTCTCTGTGCAACTGCTTCTCTTCTGTGCGCCACCCATCGGTCGCACACTGATGTCATCATGTCTAATGCAATACCAGCAGTCCAGCAATGTCAGCAAGTCAGGGTGCTGAGAACCCATACACGACATAAGCACCAGAGGGAAAAAGAAAGTGGGGGGCTGCCAGGGAAGCAAGGAATAAGGTATGTAAAAATACTTTCTAACCCCGTGCCATCAACAAGAGCTGGCCTTTAAGTGGGCCATGATGCAGCAAGCTGGTAGGAGGGGCTCCCATTCTTTCATTCACTGTGATTGGCAGTACAGTGATGACATAATTAGGAGCCTGTCCTATTGGCTCCTGATTGTTGATAGCTGTCACAACTTGGTCACATTTCTGGGGCTACAAATTTAGTGTGTCCTTGAACAAAGCAATGACTTATATATTGAGCAGTTGGACTTCAAGGTCAACCTGCCATGCTGCTGCCTATATGCGTTACGCTATCATAAAGAGGTGATTGGTACCCTACAGCAAACAAGCATTTAACCCTTGCAGTGCGGGGGAGCACCAACACAAAGGTATTTTTTAGATTTCCCCAGAGCTTTCAGCTTTAAAGATCAGCCTGCATGTTTCTTGAACTGCTTACCTGCAATATGTACACTAACAGGGGTATTCACAATAGGGTGAAGAGTTTGGAGAAGGCAGAAGTGAACAATCTAGGACAACATAGCTGAACTGGAAAGTGAGCTGAATTGGAGAATTTTTCCAAATCAGCTATGTTGTCCTAGAATCTTGTTCACTTCTTCTGTCTTCTCCAAACTATTCAAACCTTTTGTGAATAACCCTGTAAGTCATGTACAGAATCCCATGAGCAATCTTTAACCAATAATCAAATAAAATGCGTGCTGTAACCTAAAACTAAAGCTGTACGTAGCTGTATAAATACCCAATAGGAAATAAGCAATACAAATATTTAAATATATAATTTGCTTTATAGCGTTTGTTTTGATTAAATCATTTAGGTAGGTCCTCATATTACGTAGTTTTGGTAAATCTAAAGTTGATTGTACAAAGATTGTATGATCAGATTGTAATGTGTATGGTGACCCTAAGGCAGTGGTGGCGAACCTATGGCACGCGTGCCAGGGAGGGCACGTGGGGCCCTCTCTGCTGGCACGCGAATCCCTGCAAATCAGGTAAGCAGGAGAGGTGGCAATGTTTTATTTATTCATTTTTATTAGTATTTCTGTGTGTGTAATGTGTGTGTTTTAGTAAGTGTGTGATGCGTGTGTTTCATTACGTGTGTATGTGTATGTGTTTGTGTTTTATTAAGTGTATAAATGTTTGAATATGCGTGTTTCCCTATTTTGCCTAAGGCCCCATTCACACTGTGCGTAAAATCCCACTATTTCGCGCATTATCGCGAGGAGTCACCGGCCAATGTTATTCAATGGAGCTGTTCTAATGTACAGCTCCATGTCGCCCGTCGCTTCAGCAGGATCATCCTTTTTCCTGCGAATGTCGCACGATTTTTCTATTTTTTAATGCAGCCCGACGGTGAAGGTCACGCGATCTTTGCTGGAACGTCGCCCTAAACAGTCACGCTATCCCGGCACCGCTTGTAAGGTATGTCGCTTGGTGTGAATTGGGGCCTAAGGCAGTGATGAACGTTTCTTAAACCCGAGCGCTCGAACTGCAATACAGTACTAAACTTATTTTCAGTGCTGGCACTTTGAGGTAAATAAATTGATTTTGCATCGCAGTTTGGCCACTCGGGTTCAAAAAGGTTCGCCATCACTGCCCTAAGGCATCATTGACACACAGGCGACAATCGGTGAGAATCTGTGCATTCTTGCTGCTGGAGAACTGACTTTGTTTAGTTCCACCAAATAAGTGACAGTTGGGAGGTACGATTTTGGTAAATCTATGGTAGATTTTACAGTCATATTGTAACCTATAGGTGATTCTACAATTGCATAGTGTACGGCCAGCTTAAAGCAGTTTGTACATACAGATTGTAATGTGCATGGTGAGTTTAAATCATCCCGATGCACTTGCAAGATCGTGAAATGTATATTTTTCAGACTATTTCTATGATATACTGGCAGGAAGATCACACATATATGTATTGCATCAATAGCACAACACATAATCTGCAGCCATTATTTTGTTCCTGGCACAGGCCACCAGAAAGACTTGTTCACTGTTTGCAGGACACACACACACACACACACACACACACACACACACACCAAGCGGAACACAACATGTGAGACAAGCAGAACTTTCTCAGGGAGCCTTTACCACCAAATTGTACCCGCCCACTCTATAGAGATCTTAACCAATCAGAAGCGGCTCTTGAGCCCATCCCACTCCTTAGAGTGTAGCAACGGCCCCGTCACTGTTATGTATGCCAGAAGATCATTTAACTATTTCCTTCCCCACTCCAAGTTCTGTGACCGGCTCACCTTGATCAATAGAATCAGTGACAACCCTGGTACGGCAGACAATGCGATGAGCTGTGCTATAGCTTTTGATTAACTTTCTCTTGGCTTTCATTTAGAAAACCCAGTCGTTGTGCAGGATGTACTGTTCCTTTAATCGGTTAATAGACAAGTATGTAGAATATGAAGCTAACCACAAATGTTGCCTGTAAAGCTTTGGTTACAAACAACTGCAATGTTTACACAGTGGAAGTAAGTTATAGCTTGTATATATACTGCAAAAGAATGACTGATGCTATTGAATTCTCTGTTTGTAGCAGAAAGCTGCCAGAAGGGATCCATATGGCATCAAAGCAGCCTGAATGAGGAAAACCAGCCAGTTTCTAATGTGAACTGATACAGCCATCCAGATGCACATAGAGAACAGCGACTCTTCTCTAGCCACCAAGCTGGGGGTAAGGCAGCGCAGTGACAGTTGTGTGACATCATATGTCTAATAAAAGCCTCCGCCATAATTCATCTGCCCTTGCATGAACACAGTGATGAAGCTTCCAGACTAGTTATGCCGTCCAAGCACCCAAAACCTGAGTTTTGGAGAAGACAGCGCTTGTAAATTGCATGTAAACCCCATGGCTAAAATCTCAATGTTAACCCTTTCATGACCAGCGGTTTGCAAAGCTTAGACACCCAGACATACTTTAGCAGGATTAGTATGTCAGCTAACCAGACAATAACGACACGACTAATTATTCTGATTGACAGCAGGTCTGAGAGCTAGGAACACACGCTGTTGCACATTGATAGATGTCTTCTGCAAGGTTAATAAACACTCTTACAGCATTTTAAATTATAAAGTCATGTTGTGGTCATGCAACTTTAAAAGCTATTTTTCAATTTTGTTTTCTTTAATCTGCAGCATGCGTTACAGTAATAAATTCTTATTAAAACACTTCCTGATTCTGTCTCTCTGTCATATGGACTTCTGATGAAGAATACAAGTGTCTGATGCAATATGACATTAGACACTGGTATGACATGTACACGTATATATGTCATATAAGTGTCAGGCTATCCATGACATAGGCATGGTAGATCAACATCACACTAGGAAACCTGTCCTGAAAAATGCCAGGCAGCTTTCACTGAAGTGAATGCATTAAGATGGGATGTGGATGCAAAGAGGAAACGGGAGATCAGCAGCACTGAGATGCAAAGAAGGATGCAAAAACAAGAATCTTATAAAAATGGAAGCAATCGCTTATGACACACAGCTCTTTAGCAAATTAATGACGTTCTGTTATGGGTTTACGCCTACTTGTTGCAAATCATAGCACTTATCACAACTCACCAGATACATTTAACTGGCCACCAAGGAACCATCTCACCCGGCCTTGAGTGAAGTCACAGTCCTTAACTGTCTGATGTGGCTTTACCCAAATCAGCCTCTCCCTGGCCAGGACCCCCCAAAATGTCTCAGGATCCTCCAAAGAAAACTGCACCAGGTCCTGGTAGGTATGCACATTGGGTAAGGCGGTTGCCTCTGGCATGTAGGAATGAACATCCCATTGAGGTCCAAGGACATGCTGAGCTGGTTGGACCTTCTGCTTTTGGTAGGAGACACAGGATCTGGCCCCAAGTCTTCTCCAGGTACAGATCCTTGCAGGAGCTTGCAGCTTACTGAACAGCTGGTGGAGGAGCAGTCTGCTTGTGAGGTTTTTTGCCATGCTGAGCGACAAGCAAAGATTTCCAGGGAATCAATGGAACACTTGCACCATAACTTTCCAGAAGTGAGTGAGAAGTTTCAGCAGATTCCTTGGTGGAAGGACTTCTGTGCTGTGATGATAACTGCAACTGCAAAGCCATCTGCTGAAGCAGTGCTGATAGAATTACACTAGCCAAGAGCTCCTCCTTATTTCATATCCAGGAAATGTAATTGAAACTTTTTTTTTTCTGCACCTCTATTACAGTTCATTGTAATTCCTGTGTAAATGACACATGTGCTATAGAGTCTTTCCAGTCGTCACAGTTTTGTCTAGATGCCAGTTACCTCACATTCCCGCCTTTCTAGGGTTCTTGTTGTCTCTATGCAGAAGCTTCACTTTATCAGGACTGCTGTTTCTGCAAAGACTGTCTCTACACTATCAGTGCAGTGCCATGAAGATTTTTTGCTTTGCATAGGGAAATGCAATCTTACTTGTTAATAAAAAAAAAAGCAACCAAGTTATCAATAAGGTCTCATTCACACTGTCTTGAAAAAGCTTGATAATGCAGCACACAGCTCCAGGTTGCAGTGGCTATTTCATATATAAAAATAGCTCACACACGTTTTAGCCACTCAGGGCCTTAATCATAGCTCAATCATGAGCTATGATTAGGATCCTGAGAGGCAGAAATGTGTTACTAGCTATACAATGTGAGCATTTTTTGAATATAATAAAAAGCCCTGGGAAGTGGAGCTGTGTGCCAAGCTTTTTCATGTCCGTGGTTGGAGGTGAATGGGAGCCTTGCTGAGCACCAGTAATCCCTGGAAATTTTACTGTGGGTGGAGGCTGAGCTGGTACACCTAACTTATTCTTACTCATTCACACTGTGTTGGATGTGCAGGTGGGCATTCCGTGCAAATAGAGTGTCTGCTTTCCTGCCAATTCCCGCGACCCTAATAATTTACCTCCGAAAAAACCTTTAAAAAAAGATTTCACCTTTTTCT